CCCTACACTTTTGGTTCCTTTGTCTATATAGTTTTATTTTTAACTTTTTTTTTTATTTTTTTGTATTTTGATATTTTAAAAAAGGCAACTTCAATGTCGATTTAATACCAAGAATTAATCAATGATTTTCAAATATGTGTGTTAATTGCTAAATACATCGAAAACAAATTTTTAAATTTTGATTTTTTTTTTAAATGATCCTGAAAATGATGCAAATATATCAAGAACATATATTTTTTGAGTTTTTGTATTTTGAAAATATTTAGATAAAATAATTGGGGTAAAAAATTAGGTTATGACAACAGATAACATGAGTTGGCATTTTATGGTAGCAAGCTAGATAGACAGTATGCTATTCAAGTATTTTTTAAGTCATTTGTTAAATAAAAAAACTTGACTCCACCGAATTGTGTTTATTTAGTATTTAAAAAATTTCTATTTTAAATGTAATGAAAAATTAGTGGTTTATCTAGCTATTTGCATTATCAGGATGGATACATATACATCAGTGATCTTGTTGATATTGTTGAGTAACATTTTCTATATCAGGTAACGTATTAATTCAACAACAGACAACATATTTCAAATGATATTGATATGAGTGAAGCTTTGTACATTATAACTAGTTAGGGTAAAAATGATGATTATAATTGGTTAAGTTGCATTGAAGTTTATATATTACAGTGGGATGTATGAAGAAATGAAATATTTATAAATATACATCTTGTGATTACAAATGAGTAGTATTTGATTTGGTACATGAATATTACATATCAAGTCATTACTTTGGATTCCAAGTATGTTCCTTAACATGTCTAGTAGCTTCAAAATATCATAAATAATATAATATATTATAATTAATATATGTTAAACATTGATTTTTATATATTGATTTTTTAATTTAAAATTAATGTTTTATAAATATTAGGTATAGGAGGGTTAAAAGACTATATTTGTGCTTTGCAATATTGATAAAAAAAAAGTTACATCTATGAATCCCAATTGTTAAATGTTTGTTGCATTGAATTTGAAACTTTTAAAAAAGATTAACTCGTGATGATATCATGATAAAGAATAAAGTCATTTGAGCAAGTATAAAAACTTAGATCCAATCATGCTATTAATAAGTCTGGATCATCCAATAAATATTGTAGATATAGATAGATAGATAAGTTGTATTTATAAATTTTGGAATTTCAATTACTTGAATATTGCATTATTTAAATAATTGAAATTTACTTGTCATGTATATATGTTTTCTTATTTGCACTCGTGGGCTACTTATAATTATGAAATATGAGATTTTGTTGAGTTTGGTAAAAGTTTGTTGAGTTTGGTTATTATAAATTTTTACAGGTTTTTTTAAATGAAACAAAATTTTAGATATAGTTCTTACATAGAAAAAACACTTTCCCAATCTTGTTAAAAATATAAAATTTTTAACTCACTAAAATTATTAACTAAATTAAATATTATATTAAAAAAATAAATAATAAGTTCATTTATTTTTTTATTAGATTTAGATATGGCAGAAGCTTCACTACATATCTTTTAACTCAACTGGTTAGTCAATTAAGATAATTGTATAAATTGAACAAGGAAATTGTATAAATTTATTAATTGATTTATATAAAAATTATAATTTTATTAAAAAAAAAATTCAAAATATGTTTTATGAGTGAAAATATATACCATTTTCTAACTTCTAGACTCAAGAATAAATTTTAGTCAAAATCTTATGAAATATTTGTTATATAGTAGTTTGTTTTTGTTTTTCAAAATCAATCGATAATTTAATTAATGTAGTGATCATAAACTACACTATTAATTATAATTTTTTAATGTTTTCAGAATGACAATAAAATTATAATTGTTATCCCAATTTATAAACATCATATTTAATTAAATATCACCTCTTTAAACTGTGACATAAATAAAATTATTTGTTGTTGCCGTGTTAATTCGCTTTTCTTTTTCATTTTGAATACTAACTGCCCAAATTGCACGTCGATGTCTTACAATCCTGAGCTCCCATAACCTCAACGATGGGTCCCAGATAAACTGGAGGCCAGAAACAACCTTAAAAAAAAAAGAAAAAAAATAATATTAATAAGGACACGGGATACACATGCGAGGGCAAAAGAACGAATAAGAAAAAATTGCTGCTTTGTTAACCTATTTGGACACCCACAACAAGCAGAAGAAACGCATACGCCGCGTAAACAAAAGAAAAGGGCAAGGGAAGAGAAAAGAAAAGAGGACGCCAACACTCGAAGGTTTCCTTCCTTCCTTGCATGAATACTTGCCAAAAAAAGCATGCAAAATTGCCTCTCACACCCTTGCAGTCTCACTCTCCATCTATAACTCTTCCAGTCAACTATATTTCCCTTTGCATACAAACTCTACTAACACCAGTAAAATGTCTCCATAACAATCTTCTTCTCCGATCAAATCACCAATTTTCTCTCCTTTAAACCCCCAAACCTCTCAAAACTTGTATTTAACCCATAACCCTCCCAACCCTTATCTGCCTCTTTCTCGCTTCTTTTATCTTTTCATCCTGAATTATGGACCCTTACCACCACCAGCGCCGCAGATTTCTTGCTGGAACGGCGCCGTTTTCCCCTGAGACTCCCTTTTCCCGTTTAATCGATCAAAGCCTTGCGAGCCCTGAAACTTCTACTCAAAACCCCTACCTAGAAACTCTTGAATCTGTCTTCTTAAGACTCAATGTATCTCATGATAATCAAACTTTATATTCAGGTTCTCATGACAATATCTTTAATGGGTCCGTTGTAGATTTTAAAATTTTGGATGGTCTTGCCTCTAGCGGCCTGGTTGGTTTTTTGCCAACCCAAAACAATGAGATAAATGCTTTCGGGGCTACGAGGGTTCAAGATTTTATTCACAATCCAATGATGGCTGGTTCTAATTCTGATTTGAGGAGTAACACTTTCGTTTATGGTGGTGCGTATCAAAATCCAAACCTTAACAACCGGAGAGGATTAATGCAAAGAGAATCGCATTATGGGTCGATGAATAATGTTTTGGTGTCTAAAAGCCAGAATTATGGGAGGAGGCCACCTTGGTTACAAGATTACGTGTCCTGGGAGGATTTGAGTGGCAAGATCGTGGCATTGGCTAAGGATCAACACGGATGTAAGTTCTTACAAAGGCTTATTGAGAGTGCAACAAGAGAACAAATTGATATGTTGTTTTACGAAGTGATCGACTATGTTGGGGGGTTGATAGCGGACCCATTTGGGAATTATGTTGTACAAAAGCTTATAGAGGTGATTAGTGAGGAACAGAGGACTCGGGTTTTGCGAATGCTTACTCGAACGGATTTTCAACTTGTGAGAATTTGTCTTGATGTGCATGGGTATGGACATACATTCGGCTGTTATTTTATTCATTCCTATTTTCTATGCAAATTGAGAATGTGGTATGTGTTTTTTGTTTTTTCTGTTTTCGCTTAAAGAAACTGACATACAGCGGCTAAGTTTGTTTCTTCTTACTATATTGACTGTTGAATTGATTTATTTATTCTTTTTGTCAATAGAACTCGGGCTGTGCAGAAGTTGTTGAATTGTATTACAAACCCTCTGCAAGTTTCTTTAGTTGTATCAGCTCTAAACCAAGGTGCTATTGCATTGATAAAGGATTCCAATGGTCATCATGTGATCCAGCATTCTGTGAAGCATTTTTCTCCTCAAGACAATAAGGTGATCTTCAATTCATTGAACCCCCCACTCCCAAAAAACAAAAAGTTTGTTGGAGATCCTTTGTTATATCTCTGTAGTGTAATCTGGGTTATTATTTCATATTTCTGATGGAGTGTAATATGGGTTATTATTTCTTGTCCTGCCGCTATTTATGTTTCTAGATAATTTGCTCCATCACTTCCCTTCAACGTGGTGTGATTATTTTACCTGTCTTCATATTTTGTCTCTGTCAAGTGATTTTCTTTATCGATCAAGTTCTTTTTTATACCTTTTTTTATCTTTGAATAATTCAATTTTTCCATCTTTTAAGTTTTACTTAATGGATACTTAGTTGGGTTATAAACAATTCTAGATTTCCCCATCCACCTGAACTTCTTAGAGGTGCAATTACTACTGCAATATTCTCCTTTCTGTATACGCATTTATGCTATAGCCTAAAATCCTGAATATTTAACCGTTTCCAGTGGAATCTTTCGTTTAAGATTGTGAAAATCTTTTATCTTTTATGGGGAAGAAAAGGGCTGCAATTTTTTCTCCCACACTATTATAACTTTAGTCACTTTTCTCGATAAAGGATAGCTGGCAACCTCTCTGTGGGTTGTCATAGGCTTCATAGCTTTGGCTTTTGATGGGTTCCTTTTGAAGAAGTTTAGTATAATTTATGCCATTGCTTGCACTTGATATATACTGGTTGCACTCATTATTCATCTGGCTGGGATCTATGATAACTTTATGGCTTCAGTTCTGATTGCTTCCCTTTTTTATTTAATTTGCAATAGAGTTTCAAATCAATTTGCAAGTTGAAATTCTCTTGTTTGAGTTGTCGTGAACATCTGATGTGAGCTATTGTAAACACCATATCAGAGATTTCTGAAGTAAAGTGATCGGCTGCTTTAGCTAATTATATAGCTGACTGAGGTTTGAAAATATCAGCACAGGGTTTCTTGGGTCAACTTTGACCCTCAACTGCTATAACAATTGAAAATTTTTTAGCAAAATTTTCAGAAATTCCATAAAAACTTGTAAAATGAAACCCTTATTTTCGTATAGCTTGTATTGATTTTCTCCTGTATTTAATTATTTGTTTATTCCGTGCTCTCTTCATAGTTCATTCTTTAGAATATCAGGACTCCAACATGATATGAGTCCTATGCTTTGATTTGGATTTGAATCTTTCGGACTTTGCAAGGTTCTTCCTTTCTACAAGCTCTTTTTTTAGACTGGATGTGAAATGTTTTTCTGTGCCTAATCATTGGTGTGCAGTTTGGGGGGAGGATATAGCTATAAACATTACATCTCCACCACCTGAATTAGGGTGTAAAGCTTAGGACCATCAACAAGCTTGCAAAAACTTTTGGTAGTTTGTAGGCCGTAATAATGGAAATATTACTTGATCTTGCCGTGGTTGGATCCACAGCTTTCTAAAATCTTTTCATCTGAATCCATGGTGTTACCTATTTACCATGGGTTATTTTATGTCTGTTGCTTCATGTTTCTCTTATCTTCCTCTCTAACGTTCTATCACAATTTCCTCACTTTCTTGTTTTTGTCCATCACCAACTTTTTCAAGGCATTCTATGTCAGCGTAGTTGCACAATAGACTTGCATAAAATGTGAAATAGGGAAATATAGGTATTTCATCACCAAAATCTGCTTTAAAATTACAGGATATTGGAACTTTTTGCTCTAACACTTGTAATCCTCTTTTTTGATGCACTTGTGATCTTCAACAAGCTAGACTTGCTGTTATTCTGCAAATAAAATATTGCCTGAAACCAAATCATATTCTGGCTTCATGATTATCTGATAGTGGATTTTCTTTTGCAGTATATTTTGAAACAGGTGGCAGAGAAGTGCTTTGAGATTGCAACCAACAAGAGTGGATGCTGTGTGCTGCAGCGATGTGTTGAATACTCTGAGGGAGAACACAGAGATCGACTAGTAGCTGAGATCATAGCAAATGCACTAATACTGGCTGAAGATCATTATGGGTTTGTTTTACTAAACCTCATCAATGCTTTACAACACATTCAAACGTAATATTAACTTAATACGGTTCTTGCAATTTTCCATAATTTTCTCTAGAAACTATGTAGTGCAACATATTCTGGATTTAAAGATGCCACAAATCACAGAAAATCTCCTCGCACAGTTTGAAGGGAGTTACATGGCTCTTTCATGTAACAAGTATGGAAGTAATGTTGTGGAGAGGTGCTTGTTAACAACAAGTGAGGATCAATCCACACAAATAATATTGGAGTTGCTAAGCAATCCAGGTGCTTCCATGCTCCTTGTGGATCCTTTCGGAAACTTTGTTATCCAAAAGGCACTATCAGTATCTCAGGTTAGATAATTGCACTCCAAGATATATCTCACCTGCTTGTTGGATAACTGCAAAACAGGTGTAATGTGCAGATAGTAAGCATCGCTTTATTCTTCAACATATTTAACAGAGATTGTCAGTATCAAATTGTTTTTCTTTGCCATTTCTGTTGTTTAATTGAACTTTATAGTGCGAGTGTATTGACAATGTGGATTTGCCAGGCTCAAACTGCTTGAAATGGTCTGAATATATTTTAGTCAATTCTCAACATGAGAGACATATTTTTCTGTGAGGAATTGAGTCTGTTACATCTTTCATTTTCTCAGACATTGTGTACTGTTCTTTTTTTCTTGAGGTAGACTACTTATCTCAAAATCAGTCTCTGTACTGGGGTGATGATGGTTTTAAACTTGCATTTGTTGAAATTCCATTTTGACAATGATTAGTAGTTAATAGGCCTTTTAATGGTTGTTAGATCACGTAATAGTTTTATGAAATATATTCCATCAATACGAAGAGCCACAGTGCTTCTCAAAAAAAATTTGAAAAGTTTTTCCAAGCTTGCCAAAACTTTGCTCTACCTACTTCATGCATGACTAGTATAGGTTTAGTACCTTTTATTTTTTTTCTTTTACTGTATCAAGCTTATTTTAATCACAAAATCAAGCGGGCTTTGATCACTTGTTGTCATCTTCCCATTTTTGCAAGAGCAGGGTGAAGTCCAAAGAGGTTTAATTGCTCTGATAGAAAGAAACAGTCAAATGATGATCAGCAATATCTATGGGCAGAAGGTGCTTGTTTGGCTGACCAAGAATAGGAGGCTGCTAAACCTATAGGCATGTATAGACTGAGGGAGTTACTCTAATCACAATTTTCCTACAAGTCTCGGTATTGTTTTTTTTTTTTTTTTCAAGTTTTACTCCATTATTAGTGGTGTTGTTCAGTTGAGCTCGTAACTGCCCTCTTACACTTCAGCATGGTGAATGGCTTTGCGGGTGTCTGTTGTTTGTTGTTGTTTAGGATGTTACCTGTTTTTTTCTTGTGATGTACTGTTGTAGACTTGTAGTATTGGAACAAATGAATTTGGAGGTCGTGGTCACTCCGCAACTGAGTAGGAACTAGCTAGCCTGAATTGCCTACAACAATCTCGAGGGAATTAGAAGGTTAAACTGTGTATATTTTGAGATCATCCCGCTGTTTTTACTGCATATTTAACGTTCTCCATTCGCAAAAGGGCATTTTAAGTTCATGGTGTTTCAGAAGTAGGAAGTTTGATGATTTTTTATAGTGCAGTTTGTTCCTTATTTGATGTGAGGTAGATTTCATTAGCGATATATCTTCTCCTGATGGCGAATTATTTGCAAATTGTCACTTTGAAAAATATAATAAATGAGAAAAATGCCCATTGTTAATTCTTAGGGCGGAATCGCCCCGTTCCCAAGCCAAAATACTTACCCAAGTGCATGTTTGGCGTGAGCTCTTCCCTGACACACAAATGGGAGGGAAAGCTAGTTGTTATATGTAGCCTGCTGGGTCCATTCTTCGGTTTGTTCGTGTCGATAGCTGCTGCTGGTCCTTTCTGCTATGGTCTAAACTCTCATCTTTTGCTGGCTGCTTGAGATAGGTCTATGTTCCAAATGAATAGATCCATGACAAAGGGCAACCAAAAGGTATCGCTGTCATATTCCCAGGACTAGCTTTCCATTGCTGGAGAAAGACAAGCAAAAGCTATCGTTGTCACATGACTAGGCTTTCCATGCTAACCGGAGAACTTTTTGGTTCATAACAATGGGAGACATAAAGTCCAATTCAAATTCTTCTCCGGTCATATCGTGAGCTTATGAAATTCACACTTTTTTTTGAAGGGATCACTATTATACATGTCTAGATCAACACTGAAAGTAAATAAAGTAGACAATAACAAATTATTAACAAAAACCTATTTCTCATAGTAAAATTACTGTTTATCAAGAATACCGTAAAAGTGTAATTATGAAATTATCCTTCAATAAAAAAAATCATTGATTTAAGTATTGAAGTTTATACGGTCTTTTCATCATATTACCATTGTTCTTTTTAGATTATATAGGGGTAAATTAGTTTTTTATTTTTTTGCACGAATAAATTACATAGTTTCCACTTAATTAAAAAATAACTTTAGCTTACATTAGGAGCATCTTAGTCTTCTTGATTTTTTTAAACAATTAAATGATTTTATTACCTGTAAAGATAAATTCTACTAAACTTTCATACAATGGCTTTTTAGTTCTTTTACCACTTTTCGGTTAATTTCAAAGAGATTCTAGAGCATTTTTATATTTAAATATCTATTAAATATTTATTTGAAAAAATTAGCATTTGTCATATATGTACTCACAGGAATATGATCTGTGCACCTTTTAAGCTATACATACAGGGTTATTTAATCATCACACCGCCTTTTATGATAGTATTTAAAAGGTCTTAACACCTCTTTTGTAATGGAATGGCTGATCCGACAAACTAATTTTTGGTTTGGCACATACAACCATTTTTTTCTTCTCTTTCCACCATGAATTATATGCCATTTCTTTTTAAAAAATTTCCTTGACATTTGGTTCATGTCCTTTGAAAACTATTTTTTTTGTTTGAATAATCTATAAAATTAGAATTTCTTTTCAATTTCAACACTTCTATTTTCTTCATCTTTTAAATTTAATCTTTATTTTTTTATTGTTATTTATTTTGTTTGGGATTATTTTTATTTTTATTTTTATTTTACAATTTCATCCCCCTTAAATTTATTTTTCCTATCAAACATGATCCCTATTTTGTTATTGCTTTTTTTTTTTACTCTGGCAAATATTTTAATATGATATATTTTTTTTATTTCATCCTTCAATATAATTTAATCTTTTTAATTGAGCTTAGGTCAAAGATTGCACAAGTTGTAAATTTTAGAGATCAATCTAAGTTTAGGATATTTGCTTGGGTTCACTTTTTTTTTCTCTTTTCTTTAAGTTCATGTTTTCTGAGTTTCATCATATAATATTCATTCAATTCGAGATTAAACTCCATCATTTTTATTTATCTGTTTTCTTTAGAATTTTCACTAATCTCTTAAATGACTCAGGTTATCTCAGGTCTTTTTATTTGTTGTTTTTTGTTAAATTTTATTTGGCTAATTTTTCTAAATTGATATTTTTTTATTCCATCCTTTAATATTTGAAATAATTCTATTGAGTAATTTATAAAATTAGAATTTATTTTTAATTTCATCCCCTTTAATCTTTTAATCTCTCAAATTTAGTTCTTATTCTTTTAATTGCTATTTGTTTTGTTTAAAATAAATTTTTAATTGATTTTTTTTTACAATTTCATCATCCTTAATTTTTTTTAAAAAAATAGTATAATAAATTAAAAATATTAGTGGTGTAATACAATTTTAAAAAATAATTAGTATAGTATAATTTCAACTTATTGCGATTAAGAAGTGTAATATTTCATGAATATCACACTTCTAAAACGCAACAAATTGCTCTGTCAAGTTTGAAATTGCTACATGTCATGAAATGAAACCAGCCTCCCTTCTTCTCTCATAATAATAGAAACACACTCTTCTTTTACTTTCTTTTTTAAAAAACTAACAACCATCTCATTCCCTCTCTCAAAATTCTACAAAAAACAATTGGTTTTCATCATAAAACATCCAGAAATTGCATCTCCTGCTTCTCCAAGCCTTGAAGCATGTTTTTCTCACTGAAACTGCCACCCCAGTTGTTGTCACCACTTCACGCTAGACCTATTTAAACTTTTGTAGACAAGTTTTGTCTGGACGATTGAAGTCAAAAGTAGTACAGATTTCATCTGTAGTATAGCTATATCATAACATTCTATATTGCTATTAATTTTATGATTTTATAGTTAATTCTTGATTGGTATAACTATGATTAAATTATTTTTTAGGATTTTTTGAATTTTTTATAAATTAGCTATAAAATAAGTCAATTAGAGTTGGTTTTGTATAATTAAGCATGGAAATAACATGAATTCAACAAATAGACTTGAGTTACTTGGTTGGCTAATGACTCGATTCCGCTGGAGTGTCCAAATAGACTTGATTAGATAAGTTTTAAAAAATCATGCACGTCAAAAATAAAAATTGATACAATTCGCAGCCAAAAAGTAAATCATAAAAAATCTTATTGGAGGGTGGGATTCATTGTGTTGCTGGAATGATGGTCTTACATGGAGCATGATAGGCATATCTTGAATGGACTTTTAAAGTCAATGGGCTTAATAACAAAAGTCAAAGCCTCAAAAGAAAGCGGAGAACTAAAAAACAAACGGAGGTCCAGAACCATAGGCTAAATGCCCAAAACGAAGCCCAGATAAAGAAGAAAGACCCCGTTCGTTCTTTAGATGGATGAGGATTCTCTCACCACCACCAATATTTTCAGCATTTATTTTAATGACAAAAAAAATAAAATTATGATTGACCTGAAAAGGAGAATAGGTCACAGTATGGGTCAATTTATGAGTTGCGGGTCAGAAACATTGCCTCTGAGATTTTTTTTAAAAATTTCATATAATTCAATATTGGTATTAAAAATTATATCTATTGATATAAAGCTATATATTAGAAAAAAAAATTCTCCCACATCATAAAGTTTTCCTAACAAGAAGAGAATGATGGTTTTACACTATCGCAAGTAGTTGTGATTAAAACAAGATTCTAATGAGAATGCGACAGTGAGAGTAGCAATAAAGAAGCTGATGAGGGAACCCAACATGCATGGTGAAGAACCTGTACAGAAAATGATCAGGAAACTTTGTTTCAATTAATTTCAGAACTTTTATTCTTTCGTAACATCTAGGAAATTGCAAAGATTTATTCTTTTTGATTAAGTGATTCTTTACCACAGGACATTGTGAGTGTATATATAAATAAGAGGATTTAGAGGGTGAAAAGAGTGAGATTCAAAAGCAAAGAAGAGCTCTATGTGGAAGGTCTAAAATGCTAAGGAGTAATAGGACCACCAGCTTTATGAACTGAGAAGCACTTGGCATGATGGAAGAGAAATGTTGCTTAATTTATGCATTCCTCGGGGTCCATGAACTGCTCAGGAAGATCGGTTCATAGAATGACGAGTCCTGTCAAATATTAAAATTAAGGAATGGTAATTGGCTGAAATTTCTCTCTTTTTTCTGGTTTTGTGGGGCGAAGAATTGTAGATAGTACGTCGATACCTCCCCCTCCCCCGCTCCTTAAAGGACTGGTGAGGACCGCTTGCTTTATGATCTGGGAAGCACTTGGAGAGCATACAGTAGTGAACAACGTATAATTTATGGATTGTTTTAGCTAGGTTCATAAACTGCTGAGGAATATAAAAGTGTAGATTTTTCAGAATAGAGAGTAATTCCATTGGTATTTAATGGCGAACAATGGCAATTACTATTGTTTTGGGTTCTGTGTGTAGAAGAAAGGTAGATGATGCACCCTCCATTGAGCTCCAAACAAACAAAATCTCCCGTCCTGTCCTCTTACATCGAGCATGGTGATCGTAGTATCAGTAGTTTCCTCCTTGTTTATGATATTTCAAATTAATGCCTTTAAAGTACCCTCTAGAAGAATGTATATGAATAGCATCTTGTAACTATTGGATCTTCCATTCTCGAGCTCGTAAATACATGCAGCGAAGTACAATCTCTGTAAGAGCCGTTATAATAAATTTAGTTGCTGGTGAAACAACCGAGTCTTAACCTTTCTCGAGAACAAAAGACAAACATTCGATCTTGGAAAATGCTTCTAAGAAAATCTGAATTTATATATTATTAAAGATTGTCACGTGCACAGTACAGCTAGGTGACTAGGTGTCACTCCACCAGCAGGCCCCCGCTTTTTCATGTCCTCTGGTTAAATTTTATATGTTACAAACCCTAAGCTAACCCTGAGAATTTTTTTTTGAAAAAAAACACTAAACCAATTCTTTCATTTGCCACTGAACTATGGATTCCTTAAAGAAAAAGGAGAAGATAATGTTAGGTTGGTTGTCATTAATGTACAACAACCATGCAACAATTATTTGTTATTGTACCAATCATGTGCACTCATTCAAGATGTCAAAGGTTGACAGCCACCATTGTTGAAGAAGAGTTGGAGTTGGCAATCATCTTTGTTGAAGAAAAGCCTCCATGAATGCCTATAAATAGAGGCATATGCAAGAGAGCAAAATGAATGAAGAGAATTATGAAAATGTGAAGAGAGTA